GTATGAAAAATCAATAAAAGCTTTACCTGTTAAAAAAAAAAGATATATCTGAACACTCCAGGACTAATGTCAACTCAACCCATACACCTTGATGGCCGCTACTTCATTGTGCTGTGATTGTGTGTTTTAGGCTTAGCTCATGTAAGGTGACCACTTCTCCTATGTACAGATCACCCACCGCCATTATTACATAGTAATCCAATAAGCCACAATTACAAAGGCGAGTCCTCATTCTTCCTAGAACATTTTACTGTCTTATACTGTAGCAAGATAATTCAGTGCTGTGTATTTTAACAGACCATTAACATGAAAAACATGGTATACAGGGTTATTGCATGTAATGGAAGTATTTCATATGTTTCATATATTTTGCTCTTGTTTGTCTTCATGGCGCATGTCTTTATATATAGTTTATTAACATGCTGACCAAGCTTCCCATGCGTGCGTCTTTGGGCTTTTTTTTTTAAGATGTAAACCATATGCTTATTGTAAATAAACCCTGACCGTGTATAATGTCATACGGTAGTTCATACTAAATCCTGTCACTGCATAGCTTGCCATGTAATTATGGAGGGAAGTATGAATACAGGCTTGTGGACTCAATGAAAAAAACACTTTTTTTTTTTTATAGTGAATGCGTATAACCATATGTGGGAACCTTCCTAAAATTCACCAGTCACAATATTTTTGTGTTCATGGTCCATTAAACATATGAGGCATAATTTAGGATAAAAGGGAATTGTGTGTGAAAGTGATAGGTGTGGGGTTTTTTTCCCCCGTAACATCTTTTCATTTAATTTCAGGGTCATGCCGAGCCAGAGATGTAAGCTGGCAGATGTTTGATTCAAGAAAGCTATAAGCGGTACAAGCAGCAGATTCTGGCGTCCAGCAATGCCAGTCTGATCTCCCTCACCAGAGGGAAAGGCAGAGCACACATCAGTATGCTGTGCCCTGGCCATGAACAATCACTTTCCCTGTCTCTCTCTACTTGCTGGAAAAGAACTAGAAGGACATGTAAATAAGTATAAAGCTGCTTGCTCCCTGGAGCAGATGTAGTAACTGCATAAAAAAATTAAAGAATATATTGTGTAGGCTACGTTAACAGCATATGCGGTGGCCTGCAGGGTCACTCCCAGGTTATTCCTAGGATACATAGAAAACAATTGTTTTTGAAGTGCCCCATTCACATCACAGTTGTTTCCCAGAACCACCCGCACTCCTTACGGTCTGCAACCTTCCAATGGTGGTGGTGCTCTGGTGATCACACGGATGGCGCCGTGCAAAACTCAGAATAGTCTCAATAGGTCACCGGCACACACACAGATGAATTCAATATCTCTTTTATACTGTATGTTTATTGAAGAATGTCACAGCATGTAATTAGAAGCTTCTAATGACGTACTGCGACATTCTTCAATAAACACATCAAAGAGATATTAAATTAATCTGTGTGTGCATGTCTGTGACCTGTTGAGACCATTTACATCACAAGGCGGATGTGCAGTGCAGGAAAATACAGGCATGCATTTTTCTGCAGCGCACTGGATGACATCGGAGAGACCATGTATAGTGTACACTTTTTACACTGGCAATAAAGTTTGAAAAATGTAAAGTGTGCCTTACGTTGCAATAACGCACAGCACTGTGGCTCACCGCTGCCACCCAGTGTACACTATCTGCATGCTAAAACACTACATTTTACGGCGCAGCTAGTGGAAACGTAGCCTTAAACAACTGAAATTGTGTAAGTGTGAGATCTCTCATCATTTTGAGGCAACTTTAAATTAGATTAATTGGTAACCTAAACTCTTATTTTCTGTATCTCAAACTGTAACAAACTATAATATTTGCAACTTGGCAGTCCAACACAGATACCTGTGTTGGACTGCCAAGACTTTTAGTCCCCATTCACACGTGAATGTTTCCCAGCTTGTTTCTCTACATTTGACAACACTCAACATGCAGAATCCCATTCTTTCTAATTGTCCCTGTTCACACTTGTACGCTCGGTCACCCTGAGTTCTACACCCTACGCTCAAAAGTACATGATGAGCTTGCGTATAATCATTACATACTTTAAGAGGAAGCACATACTTTGGTTACCTGTAAATCTATAAACTGGAGTTACTTTACTCAAATTCCCCACGTCTATATATTATATGTATGTAAGAATATTGTGTGCGATCAGATCTTATATTCATTGTATTATTCAGGATTTCTATAGCACCAACAGTTTGCATAGCACTTTACAAAATAGAGGGAGACAGTACATTTACAATATAATGCAAGACAAAGGGTTAGGGGGGGCTCTGATTGTTAGCGCTTACAATCTAAAAGAGATTAGAGATACAATAGTTACTGACTATGTGGTAAGGGTTGATGGAGGAGAAGGTCAAGGTTGAGTCTTTAGGCAGGGTAGGCTTCCCTGAAGAGATTCATTTCCAGTAATCGCCATGCAGTACTGGGTGGGAGGGGAGCCTTGGTAAGTAGATCAAGACATCCCTCTAAAGTTTGGGTGGATTGCCAAAAATCCCTTTGCCCCTGGTACTTGCAGAAAAGTACTCACTAACTGCCTGGCCTGTGAGCATGTGAACGGGTTTCTTGAAGTCCAGAGCTGAGCTCCTGAAGGTGACGAAGAGATCATTGTATCCCTGCCACGACTGTCTGTTGCTCCACTTCTTTAATGTATTCAGGATATTTTGTACTGAAATGTTACAGAATCTTCCTTCTAACAGTGCTGGAATACATCCAGTGCTCCTTTTACCCTGACAAGAGTGTTGTGGTTTATTTAACGGTTAACAGAACCTATTCTTTCAGATTATGGCTTTTCTGTCTCTGTCAATGAGCAAAAGCAACCACTGAAAATCATCGGCAAGTTTCCCTGTTATAAGGATAAAAGCTTCTGCTCAAAAAGACAGCTGCACAAGCATGACAGCTTCCTGGGAATGAATGTAATATATTTCAAGTGTCTGTTTTGAAAATAGAAATAATTACATGTTTAGCAGTGAAGGCCTTTTCTGGAGACACGTGCTGTAAAATGATGGAAAGCATGCTGAGCAGAGAAATGTAACCCTCTGTAAATTGGGTGTAATTACAAAGTTAACAAGAAGGAGATGAACAATTTGGCCAGTTTTTGTATTTACTTTACAGGACATGACTAGTTCAATAATAATGCGTTATGTGTTGCAGGGTTGTGTGCTGTGTCGTGACAAAGCTAGGCAGTGACTGCTCTCTTGTTATGGAGGAGTTAGTGATCCTGCTAGCTTCTTGGGCTGCTGCGGAGGGAAGGGAAGAGGGCTGCATGTGCATTAAAAATGCTGTACCTGCCCCATACTGTCTCAGTATAGAGAATATCTGCCCCATACTGTCTCAGTATAGAGAACAACTGCATCATATTGTCTCGGTATAGAGAACAACTGCCCCATACTGTCTCAGTATAGAGAATAACTGCCTCCATACTGTCTCGGTAAAAAGAATAACTGCCTCCATACTGTCTCGGTATACAGAATAACTGCTCCATACTGTCTCAGTATAGAGAATAATTGCCCCATAATGTCTCAGTATAGAAAATAATTGCCCCATAATGTCTCCATACAGAGAATAATTGCCCCATACTGTCTCAGTACGGAGAATAATTGCCCCATACTGTCTCAGTACAGAGAATAACTCTGTTCTGAGTTTTCTTGGTGTTATTTATTTGATACTTGTCTCTGAGAATGCAGTTTCTTCTACAAGCCTGTTAAAAATTTTTCCTAAAATCATTGCCAGTTTTTGTGCCCCCAGTGACACAGATCATATGTTTTGTGACACTGAATTCATTGTTTTGGCCTTGTGGAAATAAAGAGTTAAAATTAAAAAAAAACGAGTAGGAGCTCTAAAAGATGAGAGCAGATGATCTGAGCTTGCTAAGAAAGGCAGCCTGCACGGCTTCAGTGCTTTTGCTGTGAAACTTGAGAATGGATTGCTTTAGAGTGCATGCAGGTACGGAGGTCAGTGTGGGCTTCTTATAAAACTAATTTTAAGAATACATAGTTACATAGTATTTGAGGTTGAATAAAGACAATAATACGTAAACACTGGACTGTCCATAGCCTGTTCACTTGGGAAAGGAAATGTATAGTGTATTTTCAGTGAGGACATATTTTGAGTTATTTTATTTTACATTTATACTTTCTTGCTCTTGCATATATTTTTATTGTATAAAACATAACGGATTTGTAGATAAGCCACTCCAGTGAATCTGCCTCACTCCTTAACAACTGTTGAGATCAATTTACTAAATAAGTTGGGCGTTTTAAACCAATAAATTGTGTGAATATAAATTTGTATCTATCCAGTCATGTGCAGATAATATAAGTAAATGGGAATTTGCTTGTCACATGATTGGATAATTGAATATTCACACAATTGTCATTGGGTGAAGATTCTTATCTCCTTGAGTAAATCGGCCTCAAAATACCCGCCACAAAAGGAAGACCACGTTGCACCCCAATCAGCGTCTAATTAAAATTTTTCAAATTTTGTTTTTCAAAAAATACTTTCTGGGACCCGGTGACATCATCACTGGGACTGTCTGCTGCTCTATTCTCTGAGTTTGCTGGTTTCTCTGAACCAGCAGGCTCCTGTAACAACATCACAGCTTTCTGCTTTGGATTTTTTTCAAAAGAATTCAATGAAAGAACACATCCCCAGGATGCTTCCCTCTGCTGGCCACTGGGTGTCTGCTGATTGGTTGACTGCAGGCAACGCCTAAAGGGATTGCAGGGATGTGTTGTTTCACATAAAGCTCGGGAACAATACTGGAGAGGACTTGATACAAGTGTAGAAAAAAAAAAGGTGAGGCTGAAATTCAGCTTTTCGGAGTATTCAGTATATAGAAATAAACTTCTGACCTTGCACTTATACTGCAAAAAATGTTTTTAAATTCATACATACATCATTATTCCCATGTATTCATCATAAACCTAATGTGCTGATATCATCTTTTCCATACACAGGACCAGAAATGTTCAGCTCGAAGAGCTTTGCGGTACAAGCACAGAAGAAGCTTCTCGGCAAAATGGCTACAAAGACAATGGCAAACTTGCTGATAGATGACACCAGCAGTGAGATCTTTGACGAACTTTTCAAAGCCACTAAGGAACATGTCCGGAACAAGAAAGAAGCTCACAAAATCCTAAAGGACCTTATCAAGGTGGCTGTAAAAGTTGGTATTTTGTACAGAAACAACCAGTTTAGCCCAGAGGAACTGGAGATCGTGGAGAAAGTCAGAAAGAGGCTGAATCAGACGGCTATGACAGCCGTCAGTTTCTATGAAGTGGAATACACGTTTGATAAAAATGTTCTTTCTGGACTTCTACATGAATGCAAAGGTCTGCTCCATGAATTGGTGCAGCGCCACCTAACGCCAAAATCCCACAGCCGCATTAACAGAGTTTTCAATCATTTTGCGGATGTGGATTTCCTTACTGCTCTCTACAGCCCTGATGGGAATTGCAGGTCGTTCCTCAAAAGGATTTGTGAGGGAATAAATAAACTGCTGGATGAAAGAATCATTTAAACATTTGCCTACATCTTCTCCTGTTTTTTTTTTGTGTGTGAACAAAATGGCTTCTTGCTGGACATGTTAATTGCAGGCAGCCAGATTGAAGCACAGCATATGTCTGTATGGGGTGTCCTTTCTATGTTGTTTTTGGGACATATTTCTGTTATGCATATACAGAATGAGGCCTTCGTCTGCAACCAGTACACTATATTTCCTTAAATAAGTTGAGGTACTTGACAGATAATGAAACCATTAGATTGCCATGACCCAATTAAAAGGGGTCAACTGAATTGCAGTAAAGTAGAACAGCAATGGTTGGAACTGAACACAACTCTGAGATGTGTTGTATTTACAATGAATGGGTCTTTTTTTTGTCTCCGTTTGGATCAATGGCTTTAAATCCTATGGCTCATCAACTGCTTTCACAGTTCTATGCTTCGGTTTACAACTTTGGCAAAGGCAATGCAAGATTCTGCATGACCTTGGCTGATTTAGAAACCTGCAGTAGGGATTTACCTGCATGAAAATAGGGTGGTTTGGCCTTACTCCCAATGAAGACGGTATACATACATGTAACGGTATAATGTATAAACACAGCATTCTTGTTAAATGGAGGTATACCAGTGAATAATCATTAAAGAGAACTAACTCATGACTATTTACATGATATTCAAAGATCAGTCCACCCTATAGTGATAAAACCACCCATAGGTAGAGTCTGGTGTTCTGTGTCACCAATGGCTTCTGAAAACCCCTGGGCACTGCAGCATAATGGCAGTTGCTGTTCCTGGCCCGATTGAATATTAGGGGAACTCCACCCACTTTCTGTTGCATAATATAAAATAAACCTTAATCAGGAGAATGGTACCCACTCGCGATGGCTGCAGCAGATATGTCGTAGGCCTAGGACCTCATCTGCAAACCTCTTCCCACCAGATTTCCTGGAAGGGATTAATAACAAAAGGGTGAAGAGTTTGGAGAAGGCAGGATAAGTGAACAATCTAGGACAACATATCTGAAGTGGAAACATTTTCCAATTCAGCTCACTTTCCAGTTCAGCTATGTTGTCCTAAATTGTTCTCTTCTCCTGCCTTCTCCAAACTCTTCACCCTTTTGTGATTAACCCTGTAAGTGGTGTAATTCTCCAGCCCCAAACTGAAATATCTGTTTTGTTTGGGTCAAAACCATTTTACAAATAAACTGACCATATTACCAAATAAGAGGTTAAAAATGTAGTACAATTCTAGTAATTAAGCATTTAGAATTTTGAGATGGCTATAATTATGTAAGAATACTAAAAAAAAAGCCCCTTTCAGACGGGTGACCCGACCCAGGTCCCTCTGTCAGTTTTTCAGGTGGATCTGATTGGAAGTCCAATGTTACTCTATGGGCAGCCACATGTAAACAGACGGGTGTCTGTTTACATTCGAGTAACCGCTACTCTGTCTAGGTCCAGAAAATTAAACAGAGTTCCGTTTTGGCAGACCTGATTGTGACGGATCAGAGATAATTGGATGTAAACGGATGTAAATTACATCCTACTCCCCATAGCAGGTCCTTAGAGCTCAGTTATTTTCCTTCATCACAATATGGAGAAAAAAAAACTGAACAGACATGGATGTCACAAGAGTGGCATCTGTTCTTCTCTAATCAGTAGGGGATCCGTGTACTGATCGAAACGGACTAGATTGAACCAGTAAAATCCAGGAAATGTTCCATGTAAATTAGGTGGTGGATATGGATGGAAGAGCAGAGGGGTGCCTTCAGTAATGGAAGTCTGGCCAGGCTCTGTGGCATCCTTTACCAGATATGCTGCTCGAAAAACCTTGTTCTGCTTGCTGTCTGAACATGTCCAGTCTTTGCGCTTATTTGAATTTAAATTGTTGAGCTCAAAGATGTCTGTGGGATTTCCTGACTCTCCCAAACGCTGCAGAACGCAGGAATCAGAGGTTTGTGGGCAGAGCAGAGTCTGAGCCAAGTCTTTTATAACATGTCTAGTCAAGAAATCCCCAACTATATGTGTAATTTAGGCATTTACACTTGCCTCTCCCAAAGATTTGCATGAAACTTGCTGGAGTTCCCTGAAGTCACACTGTCACTTTAACATAAATAAGGGGGGGAGGGTACCTAGATGTACTTGCATATACCAACAGCAGTTTTCAGTTCCCCTGCTCCGCCTGACTGCTGGATTATTCTAAGCAGGCAAAGCTTCAGCACTTTCTGGTGTCAAAGCTTGCCTGCTTCCTCCCGCCCCACACTACTATCCTATTGGCCCAGAATTATGTTGGGCTGCCTTACTGGCCAGTAGGAATGTGAGGGTGGGAGGCATGCCTTAATACTACCAGAGAGTGTCAGTACTTCAAAGGGTATTAAGAGTTGGTACAGTTATGTAAAGACACTTCTGCATCCCTACACTTTATTCTGCTCAGATTTTCTTTTGTTTGTGACCATATTACTTTAAAGCGAGATCAAACATTATACTTCCTGTCCTACCACCTGTGCCACCGATCTTTGCTCCCTTAAATAGCTACAGTTACTGAAGGATCTTCAGCATCACAAAAACAGAACGGTGGTGGGACAGGTAAGGAAGTAATTGTTTACTTTACATCCCTTTTTTTTACTATTTAATGTAGCTAGAATCCCACAAAAAGTGTGCTGGAAAGGATAAGCAAAGTATAAGAAGGGCTGCAATAGCCTATTTGATCTCTACTCTTCACCTCCAATTGATACACATGACAAAAGTATAGACTTAAAAATATTCCAAGGAGGTGGCTCTCCACCATTTGGATGTGGTTAGGGCTGTCAGAGTCTAGCTTTTGGTTACATCTTCTTTCCAACAGTCGCATTCTCTGTCTGATCCCCCCAAGAAATGGTGGATTACGGAAGGACAGACGGGTCATCATGCATGCTTACTTTGTGAAGGATAAGACTCCACCTTTCCTTGTAAAGGGTTGTTCAACTAGATCGGTCAGTGCCTCTTGGGCTTTTAGGCATCAGGCATCTGTTTTTCAGATATGTAAGGCCTACACCTGGTCTTCTATTCAATCGTTCTTTGAGTTCTGTCAGGTAGATGTTCGGGCTCCTGCTGATGTGAGTTTTGCTGTAAAGTGCTACAGGGTGCTATCGGAATTGGGGTTTTCCTGTTATTTGGGTCCGTTAGCAGTTGTTTTGCTCTGCTGTCCATCCCTGACTGCAGTGCTTGTGAATGTCAGTCGCTTCTGAATTGCCTGTGTCCTGTACTGTATGTTCAAGAAAATAGAATTTTTGACTTGCTTCTTAAATCCATTTCTTGGAGTACGGGACACTCGCCCCTCTGTCCTCCACTGCTTTCTAAAAAAGAGTATTCCTGGAGTGAGAGGGGTTTAATGAGGGTCCTTACAGCTCTGGCTAGTGTCCAATCACCTGGTGATACCTCCATATTGCCTATACATCTATGAATTGCCTGCATCCTGTACTGTACGCCAAGAAACCGATTTTATGGTAAATTAAAAACCTACTTTGTTGTTTTTAGAGTTGGGAAGAATTACACCACCTGTCAGGTTTCTATTGCTGTTTGTGTCCCTGTTAGGGAGATTCACCGTCTTTGTACCGGTGTTATCCACTGCAAGTGAAAGAAAATCCCACATCAAGTGAAAGAAAATCCCACATTTTGGGTTGTCATCAGAAAGGGAATAGGTGGGAAAACTTCCAAAGGGGACACTAGTTCTTGTGACCTTGCTGACCACTATCACGTTGGAGGGATTAACTCACTTCCTGTTCTGGCTATCGGGTAGGAAGTAAAGAGAAATGGGACACAGGGCAACAAAAAAACAAAAAAAAGCTGACCGGTCATTATCTTTCCTTACTGTGTCCAAAACAAAATTTTGGCTTGAGTTCTACTTTAATGCTCCTTCACAGAAGAGTGAGGATTGGCCATGCTCACAGGGCAATTTTCTAACAATAGTAGGAACACTGCTTTAATTTTTTGAGCCATTTATAGGCTGCCTTATTGTTTGCACCTAGTCATTGCTCTCTGGCCGCATATATTAAATACGTCTGTAGAGTTTGTAGCAGAATGATGCAAGTGGCTTATTAAGCAGAATTAGGAGATGTAATCAACTTTAATGGAACCAGTAATGCAGATCATATGTAATCGTAAAATGAAATGAGATGCGCAGACCATTACCTTGCAATATCCAAAATCCAAGCTCAACATTGGTAAGGAAAATTTGAGTGTATCTCTGTCAGTGTATGCTTTCCCTTTATTGTAATTCGATGAATGTCTTCGCTGCTAATCAATGGAAGCCTTCGTTTTACAAGACTGCAAATAAATTGCCAAATGTCACAGGGTATAGTGAGGACAAATGTCGCGTTTACCTGTACAGAATGATGGATGTGCAGTGGTAAAAATCCAACAGCTCCAAAAACTTTGACCACTGTTTGTAGAGAGCAAAATGTTTTCCCCCAAAGTTTTCCTTTTTGTATGAATTGTGAAAATTTAGTGCAATGTGTTTCTATTTACTAAAGTAATATATATTGCTTTGTTTGTTAAACATGGCCCATAAACAAGCCTGTTGTCTCTGGTTATTTACTCTTCTGCATGCAGAATTGATGTTTTATAAATTGTAAATCGCATGGACAGAAAATGGAGGCTGTGAAACATTTACAGTGGGATACATACAGTATATAGGAGAATGTAACACATTAAGTCTTTAAAAGAGAAATATGGCCAAACCTTTTTGGCTATAGTTCTCTTCGGGGTCACAGGAGGACATTTACTATGTCCTCCTGTGACCCAAAACTCAGCAAATAGTGGGCTATTGCTCACTATACGCCGACAGTGCAGAGCTGTGTTGCAGCCGGGAAGGATCCCGACAATCTTGTTGGGATCCACCCTGCTACCTGATTGACAGCTGGCTCTGCCTCTCTGCCCACCCCCTCCCCTGTTTGTCTCTCCAGTCACCGCTGGAGGAACAGAGGGGAGGGGGGAATCCCTTTTGGTGGAGCAATCAGTGGTTTGTGATCTCTCAGTTCTT